AAAAAAAAAAATGAAATAAAATTCCTCATATTTACAGCTGCCTCTTCAAAGCCTCCAGTTTATTCTCACGTTCTGGTGTGACTTTAGGAAGGTCCTCGGGGCTGGACAGAGCAAGGCACCTCAGGACCAGGGATGCGCTGGGCAGGAGTGAGGGCAAGCATGGCATGCAGAGAGTACGTGTCCTCGTGCCAGCAGCCACGGACAGGCCTGAGTGGAAAGCTGTTCCTCTCACCCGTCATGGGTGAGTGAGGCCTGAGCCACATTGTGTGGGAACGAATTCACGTCTCAGCTCTTGACCTGGTCACTGCCTGGAGTTGGCCCTCCTTGGAGTTCTGGTGGCCTTGCTCCTGAGCTGTGTTTGTTATTGTTGTTTTCGGGGCGGGGGAGGGGTTCTTTGGTGGTACTGGGTTTTGAACTCAGGGCCTTGCTAGGCAGGCGCTGGCTCTCACCAAGCCCTGTCTCCAGCCTTCTCTTGGCTGGTTTTGGCTTCTGCTATCTTTCCTGAAGAAAAAAAAAAATTAAACACTCAGCCCTGGGAAAGGAAAGTTGCTTTAAGGATAAAACTCAGCTTCCCGAGCTTGTTAATAGGAACACTTGATACCATGCTCTACTGATTCACAGTTGTTTTTGTTTTTAATTCATTTACTGAATGGGCAACAGCTGGCATGCTGATCGAAGAGAGAGATGTGAAAACAGTATGTGGTGACAAGTATTTCATGGATCAGGAAGGATTCCACACAGCAGCTCCATGAGACCGGGAGTGAGCATGAATGAGTAGGAAAGATCTAGAGGAAAAATTCACTGCCATGGGCCTTGATTGCTAAGCAGAGGATTTCCTACTGCATGGGGACACTGCAGTCACAGTGATCCAGCCTAGACTTCCACCTAGTCCTGTCATTCCGTAGTGCCTTGGGACCCGTGTGTACAGTTATGTGCTTTGAAATTTTCAAAGATTGGAGTCAGCGTAGAGATCAGAGGCTCAGCCTCCAGTACCTGTAAATATTGGTTATTGTTAACACTTGTCTCCAGAAAGACAAGTCTCATGAAACCTTTTTTGTTGTTGTTGTTGGCCATGAGGCCTGAACTCTGGGCCTGGGCGCTGTCCCTCAGCTTTTCAGCTCAACGCTAGCATTCTACCACTTGAGCCACAGTGCTACTTCCAGCTCTTTCTGCTTATGTGGTACTGAAGAATCGAACCCAGGGCCTCATGCATGCATTCTACCACTGAGCCAGCTTTCCAGCCCCACCCCATCATTTTTTCTTTTAATTAAGTTTTTTGGTGCCACTACTGGAGGCTTGCACTCCGGGTCTCTGCTCCTACTTGGCTTTTTTGCTTCTGGCTGGCCTTCTACTACTTTATCCACCCTTTAAGTTTTTTAAAGTTTTGGGGGTTACTTGGAGATAAAGAGTCTTGGATTTGCCGGGCGCTGGTGGCTCACGCCTGTAATCCTAGCTACTCAGGAGGCTGAGATCTGAGGATCGTGGTTCAAAGCCAGCCCGGGCAGGAGAGACCGTGAGACTCCTATCTCCAATAAACCACCAGAAAACCGGAAGTGGCGCTGTAGCTCAAGTGGTAGAG